TCTATTATATGAAAGATAACAACTAGAAACTTTAGTAGATACTTTAAAGAGAAAGCAAGAAGAGATTAAGGCCTAGTCTATTATGTGAGATCCAATGAACTGCCGGGATATGCTGACCCGTACCTCACCCTCCTTTCCATATTGCTTTGTTCAGTAAACCTTTTTCTATTGAAAAATCTGTGACTGGCACCGATTCTTCTGAACAACCAAAGAAAAAAAACATACCATAGGTGAATGTTTCTGGGACTTTACTGTAAGTAAATTGACTAAAACCATTTATAATGCAGCTGGTTGATAGCTGAAGATCAATATTCATGTTTAATCGTTGAAGATCAGTACAAATAGCGATATACTAGATTTTTAATATTCAGGTTAGTCCAGGCAAAACTAATATTCCATTGTGGGTGGTAGATGCTGGAGTGTTACACCACTTGACAATTCCTTATGTCTCTTGGGGACTGAATGGATAAGATTTCTGATTCCTGCTCTGCTTACCTGCTGTGCCCAATATGAGGGGTTGCCTGGCTCCCTTCTGGTTTTATTACTTATTTTATACTATTGAGAATGTGACAGACAGGAGGAGCTGGGACACCCAAAGGTGGACGAGAACTCCCACAATTTCCAAGTCGACAGAAATTATGGTAGAGAAATATTACTACTGGAACATCCAAGACATATAAGAATCCAGGGGTTGACTCAACCCACCATGCACCACCTATATTCAAAATATAACTTTTAGATGAAGTAACCTTAACCAGGTACATAACCATAGAGTACAGGATCAGTTCAGTACCTTATAGTACTGAACTGGGTAGTACAGGGTCATTTTGGTAGCTCATAGTACTGAACTGCTGAGTTCAGGGTCAGTCGGGTACTTTATAGTACTAAATATATTTTCTTGTATCTTGATCCTGTTGTATTATCTTGATCTTGTATCCTGTTGTAGTATCTTGTATTTTACATCCTGCTTCTGTCTCAGTATCCTGTCCCTGGAATACTCTCTGTCTGCAACCAATCCTGATCTCAGTCTATCCCTGGAATACTCTCTGTCTACCTCCAGTCCTGACCTCAGTCCATCCCTGGAATACTCTCCGTCTGCCTCTAGTCCTGACCTCAGCCTATCCTTGTTAAATACTCTGTTGTGTTCTCTGTACTGGGTCCTGACTGCAACATTATACAGCCAGAGTATATAGTTTAAGTCCTGGGGGCATCTGAGTACCGGTGGGCGCACTTGCCTTAAGAAAAAGGCAGCTGCTTTAGAAGTCACTCACTGCGATTATCTGTCTGAAGATCCTGTCAACTTTATTGAATTCTTACAAAAAGTTTTCTTTAGCTCTTGGCGATAATGGCTGCCAGCGGAACAATCCACTTGCTGTTGCACACTCAAAGTTTTCAACAGTTTATCACAGTTTTTCACACAGACTTGAGGGGCTTCTCATCCAAGGCTCTGGGGCTTCTACCACGAACATAGAAAACAAAAGGGAACAGAGCGCCACCTCCGTGTGTAAAATTGTTTATTAGGATAAATAAAACAAGGGATAAAAGTACTCACAAACAAACGTTTTCATCAGGCTTTAACAACAAACGAGAGGCCACACTGTCTGTTAACCCAACATGGTATCAGACAGTGTGGCCTCTTGTTTGTTGCTAATAAACGATTTTACACACGGAGGTGGCGCTCTGTTCCCTTTTGTTTTTTATTGAATTCTTAGTCTGTCTTAAGGGTGGCTTGCAAATGCCTCCTCACGTCTTTTTGGTTCTTCCTAAGGCTTTCTGAATTTTGAAGCTCAGTGCCTCCTGCTCTGAGACTACACTCCAGCCTATTCCTGTCCTAGCCACCCCAACCCAAACTGTTCCTGTGCTAGCTGCTCCAGGCCAGCCTGTTCTGGGTCAAATGTTCCTGTCCAACCTGTTCCTGTGCCAGCTTCTCCAGCCCAGTCTGTTCCTGTGATGATCCTGTGACTATTGTGATCCCCAAAAAACTGGTATCCATGTCTTGCTTGCTGCAATAGAAAACTTTTTTAATTTGAATGTCAGAATACATTATTTGTCTTAGCATCCAGTGTATTGCCCTGCCTTACCCTTTCTGTGTCATTGTTACATTTATCTAAATGGCTTTCACACAGTACTTTATTTGCTGTGAAGCAGTGAATGTGACATTCACCAAACATTCAGTGCAGATGTATCTTCCTGGTGCATGTGTTTTAATTTCAGTAATTGATTTACATGCAGTAAATGTTTTATGAATGTCACATTCACTGCTTTATAAATATGTCCTTGTATATTTTTTAGAAATATAGTAATAAATATTTAAGAAAAATGTATGCAGTTATAGGAGAACTATGAGGCGAGTGAAAATCACTCAGCCTCATAGTTCGAGCCAATGTGTGACAATGAAACTGTCACACGTCGGCTCAATAGATCGGGAAGTGAGCGAACACATACAGCCGCTCGCTCACTTCTCGATCATCTCCCTGCAGAGAGCCGTGACTGTCACTCCCTGCAGAGAGCCCTGCAGGGATTCCCTCCGATCCTCCAGCGCTGACTGGCGGAACGCACGGGGAAGGTGTCGGGTACAGCTGGCTCTGCCTCTAGACAGGCAGAGCCAGCTGTCACTCACGCAGCTGGGTGGATCCAGACAATATTGTCGGGATCTGTCCCGGCTGCGGCGTCTCAGTATACCGTGAGCTGTAGCTTGCGATATACTGAGCTTAGGGTAACGGGAGGACGGTAGTTTGTGTCCTCCCGTTACCCTTAGGAGAACTATGGGGAAAAGCACTGACACCATAGTTCTCCTTCAAAGGAGAACTATGAGGTGAGTGCTTTTCACTCACCTCATAGTTCTAGGCGACCTGTGACAATGAGACTGTCACAGGTCGGCTCAGTAGATCAGGAGGTGAGCGAACACATACCGGCGTTCGCTCACCTCTCGATCTTGTCATATCTCTCTGCCGTGACAGGGGAGGGGCTGGATTTCCCCCTACCTGCTCCGATCCGCCAGCGCTGACTGGCGGAACGGACAGGGGAGGTGGCGGGTACAGCTGGCTCTGCCACTAGATAGGCAGAGCCAGCTGTCAGTCACGCAGCTGGGCGGATCCCGGCACAATTGTCGGGATCCGCTTCAGCTGCGGCGTCTCATTATACCGCGAGCAACAGCTGGCGGTATACTGCGGCGTCTCAGTATACCGTGAGCTAAAGCTCGCGGTATACTGAGCCTAGGGTGATGGGAGGATGCTAGTTTGTGTCCTCCCGTTCGTTACCCTAAGGAGAACTATGGGGAAAAGCCTTAACCCCACATTTCTCCTTTAAGGTTTCCTCAAGAGAGATGCTTTGATTGCGTCAGCTTTTTAAAAAATAAATTATTTATTTAAACAAAGGAGCCGTGAGGAATACATATCAGAATGCAAATAAGCACCACACAGTTAACATCACATGAATATAGGGTAGAAAACCTCCTATTCCAATACGAACGTACAGAAAGCTTGAGTCAACTTTTAATCGCCTCATACACAAGGACTTCAAGTAGCTCTAAACCCAGTAACATGTAAATGTAATTTTAAGACTAATTTTCAATATTTTAAAATCTACAGCTTCATAAAGATAAACCTGGCGATCTTGCCAAAAACAGTCGCCCTATAACTTCCTGTTATGGGCGACAGCACTCCCATTTGTGTTCCTGCGTTGTCTCCCAATAAAGTGTCTCTGCTGACGCACATTGCACAGGTATGTTCCACTATTTAATTCATTTAAATAATTGTTTATGATGTACCATGCCTTAGCGAACTAAATGTCATTAAGATTTACATCTGCATTAAAAAGTGACACTGAACTCAGAAGTTACATCTTAATGCTTTCAGGTACCTTAATTATTAACAAAAATGTATCTTATTTGTGCATCACTCGGCTGTAGATCCTCCAATCATCTCTGAATTGGTGCGGACACTGTCCTTCCTTCTGGAGGTGGGCTACTTTTGTTCCCCATGATCCCTGTGTGTGTTGTAAAGTGGTCACCGCTCCAAGCTCACTCCTGTGATGGACTACAATCTCAGGTTTAGTTTACTAATTTGTATTGAGAGATTAAACCTGAGATTGTAGTCCTTTATGGGAGTGAGCTTGGAGCGGTGTCTACTTTACATCACACACAGGGACCATGGGGAACAAAAATAGCCCCCTCCAGAAGGAAGGACAGCGCCAGCAGTGGCGTAACCAGAGTTATGGGCGCCCGGGGCAGAGTTTTTTTTGCCCCCCCCCATTATATAAAAATCCACCGGAACTGTACCCCCATCCCCCACCCCCACACATGTTTTTATTTTAATTTTTTCACATTTTTAAAATATTTTTTTACATTTTTTATTTTTATTTATTTTTTATAAACTTTTACTTTTAGGGGCTTCGGACCCCTGATATTTCCCTTTTAAAATAGAAGAAGAGATTGAGAACACAGAGTCCTCAATCTCTTTTTCTGTATCCCCTGTTATCAATGAACAGGAATCCTTTATGAGTGTTCCTGTTCATTACTATAACTACAATTATGAATGAACATGAGGGGATGTAGATCACTTCCCATTCATTCATTATTGAGCATATAGGAACCATACTCTGTCCTCGATTATCTACAAACACTCAGCGATCGCTGATCCCTGATCCCTGACTGCTTGTACCCGCTCTCCTCTCTGACACGCTGTCACAGGAGGCTGAGTGAGCGGTGCAGGGAGGAGAGCTCAGCCTCCTGTGACAGCGCTGTCTCCGCCCACACACCGCTCTGCCGCACTGCTGAGCGGTGTGGGAGGAGAGACACCGGCCGTTGTTACGCCACTGAGTGTCAGCACCAATTCAGAGATGATTTGAGGATCTACAGCCGAGTGATACACAAATTAACACATTTTTGTTAATAAATAAGGTACTTGAATGTATTTTTAAGATTTAACTCCTGAGTTTAGTGTCACTTTAATTTTTCTAAATATCATTCAGGTTTACACCTGCTTTAATCTTCCTACCCTCTAATTGCATGCTTTCTTCTGTCGTGATTTTGCTCTTCTGTGATCAGTACTTTTTGTCAGCTCTTCGGTAAATACATTTTCCATGAGCTCCCGAAGTGACTGTCGCACCCTGCTCTTCATATCTTTACCCAGGAAGACATAGAGGATTGGGTTGATACAACTATTGGAGTAGGCCAACACTTGGGAGAGATAATCCAGATTGGTCACCACAGGATTTTCCTTGTTGCTGTACAGCAGGATAATGCCCATTATGTGGTAGGGAGTCCAACTCACACAAAATGCTATGACAATACAAATTACCACTTTGGTAGTTTTGCGGCCAACCTTTACAAACCTGGTCTGTTTTATTTTAGAAGCCAGCCTGGCATAACTGGCAGAGATGATTAATAAAGGTATCAGAAAACCAAAAATAATGCGCGTATATGTAACTGTCTTATCTGGAAAGCTCACATAGGTTTCCACATTAATGTCACTTCCGTTACTGTGCTGAAGGTCCATTTGTCTATAACCACATTGTGTAAGGTTTTTCTCTGTGAAGGTTGTTCGGTAAAGGACAACGGGTAGGCACATCAAGAAGGACAGCGTCCAAATAGCCAAGCATATTATCCAGACCATTCGTAGGGTGCGATGGTTTTTGGCCCACACCGGTTGGATAACCAGAATACAACGGTCAATGCTTATAGCCACCAGGGTGAAAATGCTGGCAAACATGGTGAAGACAATGGTGGACGGTATAATTTTGCAGAGGGCAGGTCCGTACAACCATTCGTCATAGAAGAATTGGACTATGAAGAATGGGAAGGTTAGACAACAAGTCATATCAGCCAGAGCAAGGTTCCAAAACCAAATGTTCATCGGTGTCCTCTTCACCTTTACACCGGTAATCCAAAGCACCAGAAAATTTCCTGGAATGCCAACAAGAGCCGTGATAATCATAATTAGGATGGCGAATACAAGTTCGATAGAAACTATGGTTGATGCCTGATCGGTGTTTGCATTCGACATTCTGGTTTCCTGTAAAGACAAAAGTATTAGATAATAAAACTTTATTTAATCAAACTCATCAGAATGATCACAATGTCACAATTCTGAACCCATTTATAGCAGATTATAGTCCATCGTACCATCATAATACACCGATCAGCCATCATTATGACCACTGACAGGTGAAGTGAGGCAGAGGCAGTGTGATGCATTGGGCAATGTTCTGTTGGGAAACCTTGGGTCCTGCCATTCATGTGGATGTTACTTTGACATGTACCACCGACCTAAACACTCCCCTTCATGGAAACCGTATTCCCTGATGGCAGTGGCCCCTTTCAGCAGGATAATGCGCCCTGCCACACTGCAAAAATGGGTCAAGAATGGTTTGAGGAACACAACAACGAGTTTGAGGTGATGACTTGGCCTCCAAATTCTCCAGATCTCAATCCAATCGATCATCTGTGGGATGTGCTGTGGGATGTGCTGGAAGATCAAGTCGGATCTATAGAGGCCCCACCTCGCAACTCTGGCTTGGTGCCAGATATAACAGAACACCCTTAGAGGTCTAGTGGAGTCCATGCTTTGATGGGTCAGGAAAAGGGGGCCTACTCAATATTAGGCAGGTGGTCATAATGTTATGGCTGATCAGTGTATATGTCATGTGTACACATGCCATTCATGTTTAAAGGTGGGGTATTTGAGCTATATTTGAACCACTTGCTTTCACTTTTAAAAGACCTGGCTTATTTAATAAAAACATGTTAAATAACTAATAGAATCAGACCTGGCAAACACATAAACACACAGATAATTTAGATATAAGGTTGTTGTTTATCTGTCAAAAGATTTGTTTTCTTGTCTATCCAGTTCTGGGGATTACACAGCTGTGCAACACAGCACAGCCCCTGTCCGGCAGACCAGATTTTTCTCTGCTGCTGTTAAATAACATTTACAGGTATTATCCCTCCCCCCATTCTGTAACTGGATAGTGCAAGAAGCAGCAGACCAATGAACTCATCTCTTTGTTACTCTGCTCTCTCCACCTATCAGCATATCCCTACAAGCACTACAGTGCAATTGGTTAGCTCCTGGTGCTGCTTCTCCCTCTCCCAGTATGAGCTCTGCTGCACAGCGAATGCAAGAAGCTGATAGAAAGTCAAATTCAGGTACCTAACACTGGTTGCATTTAAAGTTAAAGATGTACTAATAAGAACAGGCATGCATTTATTGGTCCTTTATAACTCCCTGGAGTTCAGCTTTAAACAAGGGGTCTTTGAGGTTAACAAGAACCATTTAACCCCTTCATGACAGGCCTTTTTTTCAGTTTTTGCACCCATGTTATATTCCACATTTTAGGCCTGAAAATGACCTAAAACCACCAAACATTATATATTTTCTGAATGCCAAGACCCTATACAATAAAATGGTGGTAGTTGCAAATTTTACGTTGCGAAATATTAGCGCAACTCCTTATTAAACCCCAACAGTTAGTGAAAAATTGAATTAAATGCCCCACAACACAACAAAATACCAATTTTTTTAATGAAATATAAAAGATGAGGTTACAACGAGTAAAACGATACCCAACATGCCCAGGTTACAAATTCCGTGCGTCCGTGAAACGGCGAAAAACTGCAGTACCCCAAAAAGTCCATAGAAGACGCTTTAAAAGCCCCCACAGGTCATCAATTTAGAGATAACACCAAAATTCTGGCCCTAGAATTATTGCGCGGCGATACCCAACATGTGTAGCGCGTTCGTCGTTTTCATACGTAGGCGCACCCGACGCGTGTTTAATTCACATTTTCCTGGCTTATTTAATAGAAGAATCTAGTGGCCTGTGGAAAGATATCAGGTTACTGTAGTTAGATGATGAATCATGATTGGTTTGTTAATGGCACCCCAAATGCAGCTGGTAAAATGTGCGTTTTTGCCCATGTACAACAGCAAAAAGTTTCCCAGCACACTCACCAGCCAGCATGCAAAAAAACCTGTCTAACCGCTAAGGCTAAAAACCAGAGGTTTTAGATACACGTCTTCTGCAGAATATGTGAAAGCCGCACCACCTCGTCAAGGCCCCTCTGTGTAGTGCGGTCCTAAATCTAACCTATGGGAGCCTCCATCTTGGAGCACATGTAGCAAAAGATAAAATTGGGTGCAGGTTGGCCAGGAGGAAGCCCAAACCCCTTTGCCCATGTAAACGCGCAAAAACGCGTCGCATGGTCACGCGCCCCGCAAGTGCACCCCAAGTGTGAACGGGGACTTAAGGGAACCTCACCACTTGCTTTTCATGGATTGCTTTGGGGATCAACTATATAAACACAAATAAACACTGGAGCTCACTTGTCTTGTGCACTGTGCATAGTTGCTTTCACAGTAATAAGTTGTTATTATTATAATTATTATTATACAGGATTTATATAGCGCCAACAGTTTGCGCAGCACTTTACAATATAAGGAAGACATTACGCTTACAATACAATTCAAGACAAGATGGTAAGGGGGGCCCAGCCTGTAAGGGCTTACAATCTAAAAGGGAGGGGGAAATGATACATGAGGAGGTAGCACTAGTGTGGGGATGAATTGTTTGAGAGAGTGATAGTTCAGCAGTTAGGTTGAGGGGGGATAGGCTTTCCCAAAGAGATGAGTCTTAAGGGATAAGTTAAAAACACTCACAGTAGTTCTTCCTCCTTCTGGTGATCTCTCTAGTGGCTACTAAAGATCTATATAGGTGAATTAGGGTCTTCTTCCTCCTGCTGGTAATTCCTCTATTGATCACTATATCACTATATTAGACTAAGACCTACTAACTAAGATCTGAGGGCAATCAGATCCTCCTTCCTACTGATGGGGATCCCTCTAGTAATTACTAAATATCTATATAGGAGATTTAGGACCTCCTTCCTCCTGCTGGTGATCCCACAAGTGGTTGCTAAAGATCTATATAGGAGAATTAGGATCTTCTTCCTCCTGCTGGTGATTCCTCTAGTAATTACTAAAGATCTATATAGGAGAATTAGGATATTCTTCCTCCTGCCGGTGATCCCTCTAGTGATTACCTAAGATCTATATAGGAGATTTAACATCTCCTTCCTCCTGCTGTAGATCCCTCTAGTGATAACTAAAGATCTATATAGGAGAATTAGGATATGCTTCCTCCTGCTGGTGATCCCTCTATCCTTTGGCCAACTTCATATTCACAGATGTGAAAGTGTATGAGAGAGTCTTTCCTCTTGTCTGCACCAAATCAGAAGAGTCTTCTTGAAGTGTTACAGGTAATTTGGAACTAAGTAATCAATAGGCAGCTGTATCCCTTTAAACAGAATGTGCATATAATATCAATGGTGGAAAAGCTACATCCTCCTGGAATTAGAAAAGAGTACAAGATAGCAGTTTGCAGGAAACCATCATCGAGAATGTTACCAAGACAATTCTACTCACATGCTTAAAGCTAGTACAGAGGCAGAACAGACAAGTCAGATTGACACATTCTAGCAAAAGCTGGAAGTCATATTAGTTTTTTACTAATTTAAAATGACCTTTCATAGCTTCCTTCCTGATTTATTTTCACATTAATTGTATCAATCTTACTGGCTAACTGGCTAGCCCTGTTGCTTACTGCATAAGTGTCATTTAAAAAAAATCTGTAACACAATCTGCATTAAGATGGCATGTTCTCCCCAATCAGTAACATGATCTCTGTAAGTCTGTATGTTCCCCCACATGTGGTTTTCCTCCAGGTTCTCTGGTTTCCTCCAGCACTGCAAAAACATACCAGCAGGTAATGGCCTTCAACTAACCATGCACTAGACTGTGTGGGTGGTATATTTGTAAGCTCATTTCGAGCCAATAGTTATATTAACCAGTTCAGCTATCTCGCCTGAAAAAAAACAAACCCTTAATGGATCAGAGCAATTTTTACATTTAAGCCGTGGGTCTACTGAGTAAAATAAATAAATAAATCAGCAATAAAATAATAACTAAGAGGAGAAGGTGAGGAGGGAGTTAATCAGAGCTGATTAGGGTTAACTAAGGGTTAACAAGAGGTTGAATAGGAATACAGTTTGTTCATTTTTTTTCTTGGAAGGTTCCCTTACCTAACATCATATGGAGATCAAAGCTTGATCTGCTAGGCATGTAGCAAGATAGCATTGCTACCCTATAAATCTTCTTGACACTGGAGATGCTGTTTTGCTCAAATTGTCAAATTTACACAGAAGCAGTAAGATCTGCTTATGTGACAATTGCCGCCGGCTGTCAAAATGACAGCTTGGATTTGCTGGTAAATGATGCCACCGAGCTGCGGGGGAGAAGGAAGGACACGATATAACACACATGCCAAAAGTATTTATATTAAAGTGACATTAAACCCTCAGATTTTTTAACATAAACCAATACTGTAATGTGTGCCTTACTGTAATCCATGGTTGTTTCCCTTCTCTTTGCTGCTCTTCCTTTTAAATCCTCATGTCTTCTCATGCTTGGGGAAAACTTCCCTTTTCAGCTCAGGGCCTCTTCCTGTAGTGCTGGCTCAGGTTACAGGCCTATACAAACTTATACACAGACACCGTGTATCCATTCCTGAGACAAGGCAGTCTGCTACAAAACAGAAGTTCTGCCCAGCATGAGAACAGATACAGTGTTAAAAGGAAGAGCAGCAAAGAGAAGGGAAACAACCATGGATTACAGTAAGGCGCACATTACAGTATTGGTTTATGTTAAAGAATCTGAGGGTTTAATGTCACTTTAAGTTTTGGGTTTTTTCTTGGCCATGTGTAGCACACCCAAAGTCCAAGACTGTTTAATGGTGCTGTAAGTGGTAATATCCATAGAGGATAATGCTTCAAGTATGCAAGATTGATCATGCTCATCTGTATATCTGCCTGACATCACACAGTGCACAGACCCTACAGCCCAACACGCTTATTAAAATCTACCATCTTTTCAATTTTTTTCTTAATATGCAACTTAACTGTATGTATGCCAATATTGTAAAAAGAGTTAAAACTTCTTAAAATCCA